TTTTTTTTTCTTTCTTTCTTTTTTTTTTTTTAGCTGTGAGAATACCATCTCCTCCTTTCTCCAGGTTCCCTCCCACTTTTTTTTTTTCTTAAATACTGTTTGTATTCAGGTAACTGCCTTACTCTACTACACTCAAATCTCATTTATATCTGAGGCTTTTGGAGGTTTATATTCTCTCCTCTAGTTGTTTGGGTTGACATTGTTAAAGTTAGTCATTGAAGGCAATAAATAAAAATAAATCAGGACTCTGTATAACTCCAAAAGTCAGGAAAAGCTGGAGAGGAGTATTCAAGGTAGTAGAGAAAGTTCAAGGGTTAGCTTAGAAGCTATCTTTGCTGATACTGGGATCTGGGTGAATTTGAATTGTCCATTGCCTTGTCTGTCAGATCACGCACCAGTACACATTTTTATAAAAGGTCATTTTATGGTTTGTGTCTGGATATCTGTCCCCTCCACCCCCACCCCAAGCCTCAGGTTCATAAGGGCAGGCTTTTTCAGAGGCAGCTAAATCTAAAGTTTGTGAGTGGTTCATTGTCTAGTGTGGAGATTGGCCCATATGTGTCTTGCACCCGCCCTGGGGTGGCTAGACTTCATACAGACTAAAGGAGGAAAGGTGTATTTAGCTCTCAGTTTGTGGAGGTTTCAGACCATAATCAGTTGGCAGGGTAATGTGGCAGAAAGGCAACCATTCATGGCAATGCAAAGCAGCAAAAGCTAAAAAAGGACAGAAAGAAGAAGCAAACCTCTTCCCTTCCCTTACATTGTACAGAGGCCACCTGCCCCAGAATGGGTACGGCACTTACACCACCAATCCCAACACCAGACAGTGAACCAATCACAAACTCTAGATTCAGTTGTCTCTGAAAAGCTCACCCTGCTGAACCTGAGGCTTCTGGGGGGAACATCCAGACACTAACCATAATAGTCACTAAAAAGGATGGCAACAGACTGTGATAGATGCTTTCAGTTACTCCTGGTGAGCAGAAATAAGTGTCATTCATCAGCTTCTTAGATGGCTATTGGAAACCCCTGCAGAAGCCTATAAGAGCAAGGACTGATGTGACAGTTACAGATTTCAGCCCTCACAACATTAATTTGCTCCATATTCTCTCATCTGTGGAAAATTAAGCCTCTTGAGAAGGCTGGGGAATGTGCCTTTTTATATCCAGGAATCCCATAGGCTTTTTCTGGTTGCTACTCGATGGTGCTTAAGGGTTTGCACTTATGTTGCTCTCCACAGTGAAGCTTTACTATACCCAGACATACTGTACAGCCATATATCTGTCTGAAAACTTTCCGGGGTATAATAACAAGGCACACAAAAAGTTCATTATGCTCCTAGAACATCCTAAATGAAAAGAGTTAATTACATATCATTCTTTAGGAGAAAATCCTTAGAAATGTTAGTATGCTTTGATATATTTTATTGGTAAGATTGATGCCTCCTAAAATTTCTAATTTTTCTGTTTTAGAAGGAAAAACTTGTTTCTTTACTACAAATGCAGTTGCCAAAGTCTACACAGCAGAGTTTAAAGCTGAACAGGTAGTTAAATCCTATCTAGCAAGCATTTAGAAAGAAGAAATTGGAAAAAAGAAGAGAGGCATTTTCAAGGGAGGCTAAGAGAGAATGTACAGGTCCATCTTTGGACTGAGGTTCTGAGTGGTTCTCCCATATGGTAATGTGTTTAACACATTCACAACGGGGCCATGATTCCTATGTCTCTGTGCCAGACAGCACTGAATCATTGGTGGCACAAGCCACCTAGTAGGACAGTCACTCATGTACCACTAATACAAGCCAGCCAGAAGGTATTAAAGCTGTTCTGCTGAGAGTCAGTGAGAGAAATTAAACAGTCTCCCAGATTATTATTTCACTGGCTGCATGTGAGCTTGTTTTCCTTAATCAAAGGTCCTAAGATAACTTACCACTAACCAGCACCAACAGCTCGTGCAGGACCTTTAAAACTAGAAAATGAAAAGAAGAAAGTAGGGGTTGATATCTTAAGAGTATTTCCTCATAGTTAGCACAAGTGATTCTTATCATTAAAGTTAGTGCTAGCATCCCCAAGATCTCATGTCTAGAGAAGGTCAGGACAGAAGTCAGAACTCAGGGCCAGCCAAGGCCATTGTTATGGTCTGTGTCTTGTCCCCCCAAAGCCTCATGTAGTCATGGGACAGATGTCTAGAGATTGTGATTAACAGTGTGAGTGCTGCTGGGATTGTGGATATGAGTGCTACCCACCCTGGGGAGATAGCCTGGATGCAGTATAAGGAAGGGGGAGGCTTGCTGCTGTGGTTGCCTCTGCTCCAGCCCATTTTCTTTTGCTGTTTTGCTATCTTCCGCCACCATGAAGTGCTGCCCTGTCGTGTGCCACTCTGCCTTGGAGCCAGCTGGCTATGGACTGAAACCTCCATTAACTATGAGCTAAATAAACCTTTACTTCTTTTATTTTGGGTGTTGAATATTTTGTCCCAACAAGGAGAGAAAAGTAACTGAGACAGCTATTATACTAAAAAAAATGAATGATCCATTAATCCCAGCCCTGTGTGCACTAAAGATATAACTGATAGTAAGGTAGAGGTTGTGTCACAGCTAAGACATTTTAGGGAGCTCTCATACCAATATATTTATGTATTTTAAATATATACGTGGCTGGGCAGAGTGGCGCACACCTGTATTCTCAGCTACTCAAGAAACTGAGGCAAAAAACCCTCAAGTTCCACAGCCATCCCCGGGAACTTAACAAGACCCTGTCTCAAAATAAAAAGGGCTAGGGATATAGCTCAATGGTAGAGCACCCTGGCTTCAGGTACTGGTACTACAGTGTGTAGGGGAGTATATTCACCTTATCACTACTAATTCCTCTCTGGAAGACTTCTTACTTGGAGCCAAGGGTAATTGCTCTTATTGCCACTGCATGTACTTGCATGTTGCTCTGTCATATATCTGGTTGGCCTCCTCATCCATGCCTTCAGCATGGGGCTTGCACAAGTGGGCTCTTAAATACAACAGCCTCTTGTCATTTTCCAGTATGAAGTTTAGTCTCAGTTGTTCATGATGTGAGACATTCCTAAGTGCTGTTTTCCTGGGCCGTGAATTTTAATTCATCCAGACCCTGTACAGCTGATCTTACTACAGAGATGTCGTATGGTCATAGTGAACAGCACATCTTCTAGTTTTTTCAAATACTCTTGAAGCATCTTTATATATAAAGTAATTCTTGAGAGATGAATAAAATTTAGTTTCCTTTAAAATAAAAAAAGGGGGGCTGGGAAGATGGCTCAGTAGAAAGGGCCTGAGTTCAATTCCCAGTTCCGCAAAAAAAACAAGAAAAGAAAGAAAGAAAAAAGAAAAGAAAAAAAAGACTTCAAGTAAGAGGAAGAAACTTTAATGTTGATAGTCATTGACAGTGTCAGATACATATATCTCTCTCACTGGAAATAAATATAAATGTATAAATGTGGGGCTGGAAAAATGCTCAGAATTAACCTAAATTCCAGATCTAAATTTCAGATTTTAAAGAATTCTAAGGTATGCAGATTTTAAAGATATACCATAAACTTTCCTTGATGACTTCCTCACCCCAAATGAAACATAGATCCACATTTTAAAATATGTGTTTAGTCTGGTGTGGTGACTTACCCTGTAAAGAGGCTGAGGCAGGAGGATCACTGTGAGTTTGAGACCCACCAGGGCTGCAAAAGCAGAGTACAAGGCCAGCCTGAACTACATTGTGAGACCCTGTCTCCAAAACAGAATAAAATACATGTTCAGTCCAATAACACATAGCCAGAGCTATTTTATTAATCTCTTGGGGGACTTGTTAAAAATACAGTGGGGAAGGCTCTGCTCCAGACTACTGCAGAAGATTCTTCAGGACTTAGGTTAGGATGTGTACATTTTAAAAAAGTGTGCCAAATCATCCTCATAGCTCCTGATTAAAGAGGGACTCTTTGGGGGAAAGCCACCTTTTATTTATTTAATTTTTGGTGTAGGAATCAAACTCAGGACCTCACACTTCCCACGTAGGCACTGTGCCACTGAGCTGTATCCCCGGCCCCAAATGGAATAATACCACACTTCCCTGCAGCTTTGCAGTGTGATATGTCAGGCTGTTGTGCTGGTTGGCACGCCAGTGGCTTCAGGGACTGTTCAAGGTTTTAAAAAGCAGTGCCATTGCATAACTCCTCAGGAGAAGGATTCATTATACCTTTGTAGATTACTGGACCTTGTTTGTTTCTGTTTTTGTTTTTTCTTCTGTTGTCTGTTTTTCAAAATTTTGTTATTCTTTAACACTTTAAAAGAGGAAATAAATAAATACATTCAATTCAGTTCTTTGCCTGAATTTGTTTTTAAGGAATGAAGGATAAAAGGGATTAAATAATATAACCACTTTTTTTTTGTTTACATTGCCCAAACTTATAGTTTGCATCTATGAAACTTCTTTCTTCCGAGACTTCAAAATACTTTAATTTTGAATTTTACTAGGCACTAGGATGGGACTTTGTCTTCTTTCTTCCATCTAGCTCCCTCACCTTGCACCTTCACTGTAGAACTGTGAGAAAGCCAGACATTGTCCTGACTTTCATATTTATACCTCGCAGTATTTACTCAGTGAAGGCTTGCACGATTGTGAGCTGGAAGAAACTCATGAATACTGAAATTGAGAGGGGCTCAGTATCAGTCAGTCAGAGTCATTCTAGAATACAAGATTGCCTGGTAGTTGGGGCAGGAGAGAAGAGGTTAAATTTTTATCATTTTGCTGGCTTCCAATTTTCAAAGATGTCACAAAGCCTCACATCTGATGAGTCGTGGAATACAAAGAAGTATGAACTAAAAGCTAAGTAGCCTTTTATACATTTAGCTGAATTACTCTTCTTAAATTGCCCCCCACCTCCAGCTGTGAAACTGAAACATTTGATTTGAAAAGTTCGTTTACAAATGAAAAAAATTAGTCCCTTGCTAATTTATTTTGTTTGTTTTTGTCTCCTCTCTCTAGCATGAAAGACTTTCTAGGTAAGAACTTTCCGTTTTATATGCATGCTTAATATTTGTGAGTGAGTGTATGGCTAATTAAATAAGCTTTAATGTTCTTAGCATCCTTTTCTTCCTTTTCATTTCCACAACTGCCACAGTAAATCCAACTTGTTATTTCCTGCCCAAAGAATGGGATAGCTTTCAAGTTGCCTGTCACCAAATTCCCCTCTTTCCAATTTACCTTGTACACTAGCACTACCAGTACTGTGCTAAGCACCAGGGAAACAACATGGGTAGACACTATCTTTACCTGCAGATCATTTCAGTAGATGGCATTTCAGTAAATGCTTTTAGAAATATGCACAGGTATTATGAACACAAAGAAGAGGCAGTTACCTTAATCTGATGGTTCAAGGAAAACTTCATTGCAGAGTAGAAGCCTGAACTGAGATTGAGGGTAGTACTAAATCCAGCATCATACCTTGTACGTAAATGGTTCTTAGTACCAGTTTATCAAATGAATTAAAGGCTTGATTTACAATTACTGAAAATTTTTAAAAATACCATTTTGGAGGACAATGATCTGTGTTTTCCAGCTAGTATGGAAGGATACAAAACTGATCTTCCTGAAGAAGAAATTAAATAAAAAATAATAGCAACTGTCGAGTTGAATGTTTGAATCTTGGTTTTTCCACTATTCCTCTGATGGAGAAGTTAAAACAAGGATTGAGGGGAAGGTATGGTTATGGCATAATAAAGGGCAAAGGAGTCTCCTCATAATTTATTGGCATTTGAACTGGTTCTACCTTATTAATATATGCTAAATTTTATATGTATTCTTCTGTTTGCCCTCTCACTAGACACAAGTTGAAGATAATTTACTGATTAGCAGAAAATTATAGTTTTTCAAAATTTGGTGGTACAAAATTGTCAAGTTTGATTACATAAAATTTCCAATCTCTGCTAGTGAGATACTATGAACAGAGATAAAAAGTGAGTTAAAAAAAAATTATAAACTATGTTAGATGGCCAAAAAAGTCCTACTGTGTAGGAGGCTTCCCGAGCATAACAACAACAAAAAAGATGATTACCATATTTAACAAAGACTAGGAATTCTCAATTAAGGAAGATGGTAACCAAAGATATTAAACCCCCTTAATGACTTAAAAACATTAAAATTACAAAAATGAAAAAGATTAAGTCTTTGGAAAGCAGTATATACATATACCAGCATTTAAAATATACTTAGCTCTTGACCAAATAGTTACATTTATGGGATTTATCCCAAGAAAGTAATTTGACAGTTGTACTAATGAGCAGACAAGACTGCTCACTGTAGTAGCTAAAGTTTAAAACAATATATGTCTGTCATTTGAAGATTAAATTATCAACCGTGGAATGGGCTGTATAGTTACTTTTTTTAAATGAGATAAATTTATTTTTACTTCCATAGTAAGATGTACATAATCATAGTGGTTAAGTATAGGGAGGAAAGGGAATTGGACAACATATGTGTCTGATTTTATGTACAGAAACATGTATTTTACCACACTTTTGTGTTTAATATCCTGCAAGGGTATGATCTAAACTGTTATTATTTGGCACGGGGTAATATTATGGAGTAGACACTTGGGTATCACTTGACATATTACCTTTCTAATCAGAAAAATCAATACAGAAATTACTGTTAACCAAAATGAAAGAATATTATGAAAAGATATGGAACTAAGCATCTCTGTAAGAGAAAAACAGCCATTAGTGTCCTTAGGAACTAATTACTTCACCTATCCGCCTTCTCCCTTATCCCTTTGTTGCTCCTTTGCCTCTTCTAGTACTTATTTCAGCTCTCAACAGCTCACCCTGGCTTTGGCAGCAGCTACCACAGAAACAGCAGCTGTGAGCCCCACAGCTGTGCTGCTGCAAAACATCCCATCTGGTTGGTTTGTACACAGCACTTTTGCATGGGCCACATTCTAGTTTCCAAAGAGTGATATCCAGGAAAATATAAAACAGGGTTAAGGATTGGCATGATGGTTGTACACTTTAAACAACTGGCTGAGAGAGGGGTTTCCTAATGAACTTACCAATACTAGAAATGAAACCACCACCAACTCTTTAAGAGCCCAGTTGCTAGATGTAGACATTCCAGTCACACCACAGATTGATACGGCATACAGAGAAGAGGGTAAAAAAAATCAGCTGTTTAGGCTCTGTGGGACAACACAACTGGAGTGTTGGAATTCCAGCACACCTGTAGTGCACTGTCAAAGCACAGGTACCATACCCTTTTGTTCTTCTTCCCTGAGCCTGCAACTCAGTTTCCAAGCTCATCTGTTTCTGATTCATTGACAGTTCATTGTAGTTATTTTCCAAAAGCCATTGAGATCCAAGAAACTTTTGCTTTTAAAAGCATACTCTAGGGAAGCTTGTTCAACCCTGAACTAATTTGAAAAGCTCTGAGGTTTAAGTCAGCATATGAGTCTAAACCACCAATTTTTCAAATGAGCTCCATTCTTGGCAAATGATGGCCTCCCTCCCCTTAAAGCTCCAGGCTTGTGCAGGGCACCTGTGAAATCTGGGAATACTGTTCTAGAGTGACAGAGAAGGAATGTTGTGCTTGTTTCTGGCCAGGGCTGTCAAGAACTTCTTAGAAAAAAGCACACACCAGCCTTCAGCATTTTTTTAACACACACACACACACACACACACACACACAAATTTGTTACCAAAACCAAGTTTTATCTCTAATATTGCATCTCACAGGTTGGAATCGGGAGGTAGTAACCCTGTGACCAGTGATTCTTATGGTGACCGGCCCTCAGCAAGAGCCCGTCGGGAGGCCCGGGAGGCTCGTCTAGCCAGCCTGACCAGCCGTGTGGAAGAGGACAGCAACAGGGATTATAAAAAAGTAGGATCTTTTTTCAGTTTTCCTTATCTTGGGTTACATTATGTAAACCTCTCAGCCTTTTCCCCTAGCATGGAAGAATAAGCATAATTTGGAATAAGCAAGGAAAAGAGGCACTCAAGTAATGACTAATTCACTGTAGACATCTTGGTTTGTTTCACCTTTCCACCAGCTAATACTCCTTTACATGTTGCTTTTATTGCAATAAGTATATGCCTGTAATTGGGTATTTAAAGGCATAAGGGAAAATAAGAAATTAAGAATTGTGTTGTGCATGGTAGTACACAACTGAGGCAGGTAATCACCACAAGTTCAGGGCTAGCCTGGGCTACGTAGGGCTACGTAGTGAGTTCAAGGCCAACTGCATAGCAACACTCTGTCTCCAAAAAAATATAAAAATTGTAAGAAGAGTAAAAATTATTTTGCTGTCTGAGCACCTGAGAATCATTTAGCAAGCTATTATATTTAATGAATATGTGATTTAAATAAGGTCCTGTGAATGTCAACTTAATACTTCTTTGTGTTTTTTCTTTCTTTTCTTTAATCTTCATTATCCCATCATCATCATCTGGACTTGGAGAAATTTAAATCACTTTATCTATTTCCTTTGGTTCGTGCTACCTAGGTCCTTGAAAACTTTCCCTTTAATGTGCATGGGATATGGGAGCAGGTAGTACCTTTGATGAAAGAAAGTTTATCTTTGTTTATGGTTTTCTTAAGCAGAAGCTGGTGAAAAATAATAATGCACATACTAGGCTGGTCCCCCAGAAAATTCTGTTTTGTGTGGGGAGCAGTGCAAATGTTCCATAGGAGAAAATGGGTGACTTTTTTTTTCTCCCAGAGATTTTTTATTTTTAAAGTTTACACTTGGCATCACCATCGCGAGGCAAGAGCACATGGCTGAATGTGCCGTGTCCCATCATCTTCACTCGTGTCCGGTTGTGGCTTGAGGAAGCAAGCCACCAGCCTCCTCATATAATGAAACTGTGTGGGTGCTAATTTGGGGTTCCCGGCCTAACGATCTTGTTCTGCTTTCCCTCCTCAGCTGTATGAGAGTGCCCTGACTGAAAACCAAAAATTGAAAACAAAGCTTCAGGAGGCCCAGCTAGAGCTAGCAGATGTAAAGTCCAAGCTTGAGAAGATGGCCCAGGTAAGAAGAAAAAAGAACAGAGCCAAACGTAAAGTTATGGAAGGAGACAAACTGGACAGGGATCTAGGGGACTGGGTGTGAGGTAAAAGTCAAAATCAGACTTCTCAGGGACAGTGAGGTGGAAGCCTCTTGTAATCTCGTTTGATTTTAGCATTAGTCAGTGTTAAAGTTGAGAACTGATAGTTCAGAAAACAATTCTTATTGTCTGAGTGCTAATAATATTGTCTGCTTGTTTTCCAGTAGATAAGTATGAACATTGTGACAAGGCTGGTCCTCCTTAATTTCTCCTTATTCTTCATGCTTCAGTTCCAGTCTCTTCCACATCACCTCTCAGACAGTGATAAACAGAACACTAGCCAAGTACAGAGAGCAAAGTAGGCCCATAACTGGTCAGGGGCAGAGGTGGTACTGGAACCTACGATTAGGACCTGAAGCAAAAATACCATTCTGGAGCATATGTTGTCTCCCCACACCATCACCACTGTCAGCCTGGGCAAGGAGCTAATGGCAGAAAGACAAGACAAACCATTTTCTCTCTGCTGCCAGGCCTGATTTAATTAGGTGATTCTGCAGAGCGTGCTGGAGGTAATGACCTCATCACCAGTGAAACAGACCTTGCAGCTGAAAGCTAAAGCAACTGCTATCTTAGGTTATTGCAGAGTTAACAGGAGACCTATTGAATTATTGCCCTGCTGGAATGCCTGGGGACTAAGAGTTTCAAAAGTTGAACTAAAGTAAAAATGACTCTTTATGAGGAAGAGATGCAAAGAAAAGCAGAGGTGGTTGGTTAATCTGGTAATATGATACAATCCAAAAGCAAAGGCTAAAATGTTGGTTTATGTAGTCCTGAGTTTTAGTGGGTGCACAGGCTGTTGAGTTCCTGAAGACATCTTATTTACAGCCTCTGGAATGGTATGAACAAGATGCTAAAGGTACAGAACTGTGTAGGAGCCTAGCAAGATACCCAGCACATCTACCCTTTCTAGAGGAATATCTAGCTGTACTCAGATGGATGGCCTGTCCCAAGAGCCAGCTGACTGTGTGTAAGAGGACCTCTCTTTGCCAAGTATGGCTCTTCCTGGCAATTTCTGAGACTTACTGCAACAGATAGATAACAATTGTGCTTAAAGTGATTTTGTGGAACAAGAAAAGTGTATCTGTAAATCTAAAAGCAAAAGTACAGAAACACAATTATAACTTTAGGATAAGACAGAAATGGCCTAACTAAGCCTTAGTATTACTGAGCCAGCAGAATGTGTTATTTACTACAGCAAACCCTCAGAAGATATCTGGGGCTACTTTTCATGCTGAATAGTGCCACATATTGGCAAAAGTCAATAAATCCTGATCTTACACTGATTCTTATCTGTTATTTGGGGACTGTTTTATAGAATTTAAGGAGAAGAAGAACCCAGATTCACCTGTTCCTTACTCTCCTCACCAGAAGGGCCATCAGTGTATTTCTTGACCTTCTTAGCAGACTATGCGCAGCAAGTAGCCTAACAGGCTGCTGACATGGACATGCGCAGAGGACATTAAAAACAAAATCAGCCTTTCCCAGTCACTGGGGAGCAGCGTTTTCCCTCCAGCCAAGTGCTTCATTGGGTGTGTCGCAATATACTTAGATTTGCCAGATGCAAGTTATTTGAAATTCAAAAAAAACTGGACTACAAACCAAGTCTGTATTTACCAAAAATGGAGTTGTTTGGTAGGACGCTGGAGGGAGGGCTATCCACTTCACACATTTGTACAGAGACAGTTACCATATGGACACACTCAGTGTCTTTACATGAAGAGTCGACCCCAACTCTAAAGGAGTTAAAATTTTAAGCAAAACAAAAAAACTAGTTCTTGCATATATGAACTTTGAATATAGTGAAATTACCACAGCTTCTACAGTTTCTCAGGCTTAAGAAAGAGAGACTTAATGATGATATGAACCAACTGCAAGATATGCTGATGTATTTTTCTTTTCTTTCTGCTTCATGTAAATACACTGTCAAGGCAGACAGCCATAACTTTCAGAACAGTAGGTGAAAGCCCAGGCCAGAAGCCAGAATTTCAAGTTTTATTGTTAGTTTTGGCTATTCCTTAGTTTTTTGAAAAACAAACTCTGAAAAGACGAGCATAATTTTTATATTTATTCATTGTTTTCTGGGCATAATGCTAGGCAGAATTAAAATCCTTTATTTATTAAATGTATGTTGGATTGCCCAATTCTATAATTCCTTGACCACAAGTGATTGAACTCAGGCCTTTGCGCTTGCCAGGTAAGTGCTTATTCTACTGGGCCATCTCCCCGGACCCTCCACTCCCCTATTTAAAGCAGGGTTCTTACCTGAAGTTATTAGGAATTCCCATTCGCAGCTTGATAAGTTCTTTTCTGTCTGACTCTTGATAAGTGTTTTGACTTCTTCAGATAGTATTTTGTGGTCAGATTTTTTTTAGCTCTTCTGAAAATTGTAAATGGAAAGTCACAAGTGAACCAGGTGATACATGATGCCTGTAATCCCTGTAGGTGGGGTGAGAAGAGCAGAAAATTTTCACATTCTGGGCCAGTCTGGGCAACTCAGCAAGACTCTGTTTGAAAATAGAAAGGGTTGGAGATACTTACACCTCTGGGCTCAATATTAAAAAAAAAAAAAAAAAAAAGAAAGAAAAGAAAAGAGAAGAAAATCAAAAATGATCTAAAATATGCATTCCAAATCTTTTATTCAAATGAAATCTTTTAATTGAAAACAGCTTATTCAAAGCAGGGCAAGTGCCGTGAAAGTCTCCCAAGAAGCCTACCGACATGCAAAGACCACTGCTGTAAAAGCAAATAGTCCCCAAAATGTAAGGAATAGAGGGGGGAGAAAAAGGAATAGAGGAGAAAGGACTATTTCGAAGAATGGTTGGGAATTCAAATTCTAAATCCAATCTAATTCAAATCTGAATCTATTTCTTTTTTTTCCTCTGATTTTTAACTCTCTGATATTACTTATAGAGAAAAAGAAGGGAGAGAGATGTTGCAGTGTGAGGTAGTTGGCATTATAGACCAAGAAGACAGAGACTATATGTGTCAGGTGTGTGTGTGTGCTGTGAGTAAAGTCTTTGTATGTGTGAGTGTTTTAAATTACAGTGAATACTACTACTACTTCCCTTCCCCAGGGGGAACTCTGTAAACTACAGAGAGATAATTTTAGGCTTAGTGATCTATAAGAATCTTTTTGCTTGGACCTTTGCTCGAGTGAAAGCTGTATTTCAGAATGTCCAGTGGTGAAACTGATCAGAATTGAGCTTTCTGCTAGCCCTGAAACAGATTAAGTAACAAGTGTTTTCCACCCATTTGCCTAGCAGAAACAGGAGAAGACCTCTGATCGATCATCAATGCTGGAGATGGAGAAACGGGTATGTGCATGTTTCTTTTCCCGTTTGATCCTGTCTTTCAGACTTGCTCTGTGTTTTTCATGCCAATGGAAAAGCTTTTATCTTAAGAAGGCAGCAGTTCTGCCACATTCCATTCCCAGCTTGATGATGAATTCTTTTTGTCTGACTCCTGACAGTAATTTCACTGCTAGTCTTTTGACTTCCTCAGATAGTATTTTGTACAGAGTCCAGTCTTAGGGTGGGGAGGGTCCTTAGAAGGTTATCTCATACATTATTCTGCTTTTAAGCAGAACTGCATACATACACAGAGCCATAATAGATTTTTGTTTACTATAAATCATTACATGTGGGCATGCCCATGTCCAGGTGCTCTTTGCCTTTCCTGTCACCTTGAACAGAAAGGAAGCTTTCACTGGGACTTTCTGCCATTGATTTAGGTCTTGTGACTTGAGACATGAGTCATAAGAATCTTTTGTCTACTCTCTTACTGAAGGGAGGCTTTCTGGTTCAATTGCTGACCTTCTCCCAAGTACACTTAGCATATTTTTCTGAGATTTAACATTCTTGGATTGGGAAAACTCAATTAGATTTATTGATGAACCTTAGCTTTGATTTGACCCTAGGGATGTAATATGTTCCCATCTCTCCTGTTATTGTCTATTTAATTTGGAAAGCAGCTAAGCAGTTTTACATTTCATTCCCTTGGCCTATAACCAAACATCCTTGATAGCTCATCTGGTCCAGGACTTCTCACTGAGTTCAAGCTAAATTAAGAGTTAGTTGCTGGGAGAGAGAAATAGAGAGAGGAGATACCCAGGGATGGAGGCTGTTTCTAAATAGTGATGTCTACATATGTACTCACCATCTGCTCCCCATCATGAGAGAATCAGTTTCCTAGGAATTTTGAGTGAGTACTACTAAAGGTAATGATGGGGTTTTTGTTAATAAAGAACAAAGGTCCTGGTCACTTGCAGTTCTTTGAAATTCCATGAAATCTTCAACTTGCAAAGAGTAACTCAGAGTGCCCTGGCCTGTTTTTGCCTATTAGCGAATTGCCTCCCCCTATATCTTTCTCATATCCTGATGGGATCTCCCCTTGGTGGGGGGTCAGTATCAGAGACTGCCCACATCTGAGTGAGGTTTGCTAGACTCAATAGAAAGATCCTTTGACCATGAAGCTGCTGATGACATGGCAGCTGGGAGGCAGTACTCTAACTGCCTTAAAGCTATTACATATTGAAAAGGCTCATTGTTTCCAAACAGGAGAGGCGAGCCTTGGAACGGAAAATGTCAGAAATGGAGGAAGAGATGAAGGTATGAAAAGATTTTTTTCTCTTTTTTTGTATGACTGTTCTGAGTGCTTGCCAAGACTAGATCCTTGCATATAGGCTTGTCCCCTTGAATTTTTTTTTCCCCCTTGAAATTTTATACAAATTCAACAAGCTCAAGAAGAGATTAGGGGCCAAAAAGCGCAGCAGCATAAGGGCCTGCTTGGCTTGTGCAAGGTCCCAAGTTCAATTCCCGGTACCACAAAAAAAAGAAAGAAAGAAAGAAAGAAAGAAAGAGAGAGAGAGAGAGAGAGAGAGAGAGAAGAATTGACATGTGAAGAGAAGATGAGCATCTTTTCTCAGCTACTTTCTGAACCCACATGATATCCACTGGCCATCTTGCAAGCCTCCTAGGAACAAATGCCATCTTTGGTTCAGGTAGATCTGGGCATACTGGAGACAAACCCATGTTGAACTTTTAAGCCTTTCTAGACAGTAGCTTCACCCTCAAGAGGTTTGGTGAAAAGGACGTTTTCTAGCTCTACAGAGCCTCTATTCAGTGCTTACTCCGACGCCTGAGCCCTTGCTCTTGCCAGGCATGTACTTATTCTACTGAGCCATCTCCCCAGCCCCACCCAGCCATTTTCAGGAAAAAACACAGATTAAGTCATTTTGCAGCAGAATGAAAATGTATTCACATATTGATTTCCTGCCCCAGTCCACATAACCCTGCAATATTCCAGTGTGCATAGCACTCCCACTAGAGCAGTTCACTGAAGGTATAGGACAGATTCACTTACAGAAGAGATGAAGGCATGAAAAGATTTTTTTTTCTCTTTTTTTGTATGACTGTTCTGAGTGCTTGCCAAGACTGCTTGCCTCTCCCCTTCACCACAACCTGCAGTAACCCTTACCATCATTAGCCACTTTGACAACTGCTGCTGCTGTTCTTTGCAATTTTGAATGCTGAGGTCTGGCAGTCTTCCCAAAGGCAGAGCTAGATAGAGAGCATCAGGGAATGCAGAGCCACCCCGATATGATGTAGGAGCATCTGATCTCTGAGTGGGTGATGCCACATGGCCACGATCACCTAGTACTTGCTTAGAATTTCTTTCTTCAGGGATTGTGTTTTTCTGGATTTATGATGGCAAGCGGTTCCCTGGTAAGATAGAAATTATTCGGCTAGAAAGCAGAGGACGTCAGGCAATATCAGGCTGATTCCAAATCTCCTGCTTGGAGCAAACATTCAAAATATGTAATTGAGACACTTTAGGAGATATATTTATTGTTCCAACAGCTCCAAAAGGTTGGTTATTTACTGAAAAGAACTTTTTAGGACAAGACAAAGTTGTAGTATTCACAAGAGCATGTGGTCATAACCTTGTTACCCTTTATAATTACAAAGTGAGGGAGAAATCCCAAACCCCGTCCTGCATTTCCTACTCACCATCTCAGGGCTACAACTTACAGTATTCTGTAGAATTCCCAGCAGAATCTGCTTATATATAAAATATTTCAAATCTTCTGTATTGATTCAGAACAATGAGAAGCATTCTCCTAAAATAATAGAACAGTACCCTAGCATCATTAAACTTCTCCATCTTCTGGTTCCTCCAAACCCACCTCACTTACCATACAGACGTAGTCTCCTCTTGAAGCAGCATGTTATATTTCCAAGCAGTTCTTAACCACAGCTCCTGGTTGCATAGATTCTCTTCCATCTTTGGAACCCCCTGAGTATACCATCTGTACTGGGCTGTTAGGCAGCTATCAGTAATGCTGTTTAGGAAATGGCCTGAATGCTGATCTGAAGCATGTAAATGAGACCACAGCTGGTGCCTCCAGTGAGTACACAGGACCCCCAAACCAGCATGTACCCACCAGTCATGGAACTCTGTCACACCCAACAGGCCACTGCAATACACACACACCTCAAAAGTAGCCAGAAATAGAGAGTTTGAGGTCTGTGGCTTCTATTCTCATTCTAAATGGCAAGTGAGAGGGGTGGCCTGATAGCTCAGTGGACTAAAGCACCTGCTTAGACAGAGTGCAGTGGCCAGGGTACAATCCCCAGTGTTTGGTCCTGGCCCTGCCCACGGGACGCACTGAAATGACAGTTGAGACTGAATGTGGTGGCACGTTCCTATAATCCCAGCTCTTGGGAGGCTGAAAACAGGAGAATCACTATGAGTCCAGTCTACGTAGTGAGACCCTGTAGAACCTGTCCTAAATACAGAAATAAATAAATAAATGGCAAGTGAGGAAGCCTTTTCCTGTTCTAGCCCTTTCCCTGTTCTAGTCTCTGTCAAACTCTGGATTGAGACAGTCTTACCTATTTCTCTGTGTACTCTGCCAAGCTCTGATTTCTTAAATGAGGCCAGTAGTTCTCTTCTTTTCTCAATAGGGATTATGATACAGGAAAATGTTTGCTATCTCCAGTGAGAAGCCATTTTTATGCAGTTTTAAAATAAGTTGATTAATTTATTTATTTTATTTATCTATTTATTTATTTATTTATTTATTGAACCAGGGATTGAACTAAGACCCTTGAGCTTGCCAGGCAAGCGCTTATTCTATTGAGCCATCTGCCTGGCCCCTTAGTTGATTAGTTTATGAATTACAGCCAGATTGAGAATTTGACCCTAAACCAGTAAGTAAGCTGTTTTGCATTTTTTTAAAAGTTGAAAATCATACCCATTCAGTCAGCTGTTGATATTCTCCATTACTAAATGAAGAAGAAATGCCTACAGACTGCCAAACGTTTAAATACAATTTGCTCAAATTAGAGCTAATGGTAGGGTTGCAAACCATCCAGTTCCTCTTAGAGGACTGAGGGAGGAACACCAGAGTCCCATACCATTGTTATATTTGTGTTTATATGTCCTTTGAGCTCAGAAACTTCAAATGTAGGTAAAATGTTCTCAAATTGGTTTGACTGACCCTAAAAGAAAAAAATAAAATGTTTATCATTTATGCTGACCAGCTTTACTAGAGGGATTAGTGACCAGAATCTCTCTACTAGGTACCTGGCAGGTAACTGTCTTACTGAATCTGGAACCCAGTACAGCTTGGGACCACTGGTCTCTAGGCTTCTGCATATTCAGCTTATGCAGATGCAGCTGTCTCCCTGGAGCAATCAATAGGGACTGACCATTTGAGGGGCTGATTTCCTATGAACCATTAAAGATACTCTAGGCATTCAACCACAAAAAGTAACTGTGGAGACTTTTTTTTTTTTAACCCTGGAAAATTATTAAAATATAAAGGCCAATTGAAATGGGGGGGAAAAAAGAAATGGGGAACCATGAGATAGGCTCACTTGGATGTGTGTGTGGCTCTGTGGCTATGAGAAAGTTTGTGCCTTTCTGGCCTCTACCTAGAAAGGTAAGTGTTTCTATATTTTCTGCCCTGGAGAAACTCCAGCTGGAGTAGGATTGTATGCCAGCTTCTGACAGATGTGCATGTCAGTGTGAGCTGTGCCAGTCCTGCATTTGGTCTTGGGATGTACCCTCATCTGACCTGATGACTTTTCTGCTGCATTCTCCATTCAGCACCAGCCTCCTTAGCAGACCTTCTGTCCTTCCTTTCCAAGGGCCTTGCATGAGAGGGACCCAGCAGCCAATCCCCTTTTAGGTTGGTCTTGGGATTGTTTACTTTGCTTACTCTGGAAATGTCACTCCATTCTTGCGGCTAAACTCTGCCCTCCCAACCCTGCTCTATGTCCTGCTGTCCTCCCCATCTTCTTGCCCTGCCTTTTTTTCAAGACTGCTTCCTAGAGAACAGTCCGCCAGATTGTTTCCTGACTCTCTCCTTCATGATGATAATTTCCAAATTCTTCCATCTCACTCTATGTGTACTCATGTGTATAGTTCATGTCTAAATTCTCTGGGAGCCAAAGACCACTATAATAATGATCGTGTTGAAAGCTTTGGTTCATTGTCAACACCAGTGAAGATGAGAGCCAGGGACTTTCAGCTGGCTCTTAAATTTGGTACCTGCCCCTGTGAACTTTTCCATGTGCTACTCCATGATCTTCTGTTCCTTTTAAAGCCAAAATGCTTACAGTGGGCAGAGGATTGCTCAGTCCCTACCCTCCAGTGCCACATAGGACAGTTTGGCTGCCCTGGCTGTTTTCCAAAGTGGTTATTCTCCTTCTTTTGGGAAAAAGCTGTTGAGTAGTTTGTCTTTGCTTGTTTTACCTTTTCACTGTTTTTCCTCTCATGCTACCTTTCATTTTCCACTGCTCCACTCCAACCTGTTATTCCACTAATCTTTCATTCTCATCCTTCTCGTTGTATAAGAGACTTTTCTTTGATGATTAGTGACCTCTTTGTTACCATTCTAACCCATAGGATTATCCTCATTGACAAAACTCCATCTGGGTAACAAATCATTTCCCTCTTCCAGAGAACTGATGGTCTCAATGTCAGGGTCAGTGTAGATGTTCACTTAGGAAAGACATGTAGCAGAGTAGGCAGACTGTGAGCAAATCTCATTTATTGAAGACTTTAAGTCCCTTATGAAATATATAATATTAGGAAAACTCTATGTGGGCTAGATTAGGACATTGAGTTTCCCCAACTGCATTATAGCTAGACAGTCTTAAATTTTCCACTTTTGTTCAGAATATGAGTCCTTTGTGAATACTACAATATGAACTGGGGCATAGAGAGCACAATTAACTGTGAACCTAGTGGTGCAGATATTCATATATAACAGGTTCAAAGCAGGTTCACAGTTCCAGAATCCTTGACAAGCCTTCTAGATTTAAGAGGAGAACTGGAAGGGTTGCTGCAACTTCCTAAAAAAAGTAGCTTAGAAAGCTGTCTAGTCCTTGTCCAGTATTATTTTGGTATGTGTCACTCACCCTTTTAAAGAATACATGTCATATACAGAAAGTGCCTAAATAACAAACCTCTCTCTTTTCCATGTTTTAATTTTTAAAATAAAGAAAATGAAAAAAAAAAAGAAATAAATAAATAAAATGAGCTAAGAATCACAAAAGAAAACAAATGGGTGTAGGGGACTGAGTAGGGGGTGGAGAGT